TTTCGACAGATATCTCTCTGGTAACCTGTGTGCGATCATTCATCAACAGAATTATTTTTCTATCACAATCCAATATCAGCTCGATAACGTCGTTCTCCTCCCAGTCATAATCATCATAAGATGTACTTTTAATCGTTTTTCCAGCAGCAACAATCTGAGAATGACCATTCCAGCCATGAACTGAAGTAGAATTATGAACTTTTTCGTGCATTGCTTCTCTACTCGAGATAATCCCAAAGAACATCCATTTATTAGTTAATTTTTCAATTTTTATCCGAACTTGATGTTTGCCTAACGAATATTCACAAATGCCTCTGACCGTTGCGTGAGTATTACTGTTTCCATGCGTTGCTACTGAGCCATTTTCAGTTATGTGAATATCACCAATAGCCCTATCAAATCTCTCGGTAACTCCAACTTGTGTCGTGCGACAGTATGTATTCACGTCAATCATTAACACCAGAGGAATGGATCGATTTTCTCGTACTTTAATCGACGGTGGCGGTGTAGTTAAACTATTTTTCAATGTCTCAAGTTTATTTTTCCATTCGATCAAATTCATTTCGATGTAGTCATCTCGTTGACGACTAATATTCATTTGTGCATTGATTCGGTGAAGTTGCATCTCGATTTCTGTAATTTTCATTGTATTGTAATGTAAAACTTGAGCTCGAGCATTTGAGGCAGCTTTTCGAATCTTAACAATCGATATTTCTTCCCATCGATCAATAGCTTTCAATAGGGGATGTTGGCGGCGCTCATCTTGTTGTTGTTTTATGGCTTTTTGGATAAATTTCTCTTGAGCTGTTAGTCGATTGAAATAATTGCTCAACTCATGTCGATGTTCGACAGAATGTTTTAAGCAAAAGGTTTTGGAACATCCATTACATGTTAAAACTGCAAATGATTGATTATCGCACGCATGACAGATTAAATTAGTGCTTGTCTTCGACGATACACTTGCCATGACTTTTCGAATTGAATTGAAAACGAAGCGACTTACGTTTATAGTTGGTTACTCATGTGCTGTTATTGGCTGCCAGTTGTAGTGGTGAAATAACAATTTTCAAAAAAGCTGCATCACAAAAATTGCACAATCAACCTCAATCATCAAGAAGAAAGAGAGTAGAACATGGCTTCTTACATCCATTTAGTAAACATATAGAGTTGGAGTGTATTTTATCGTAGATTGCTACCAAAGATGAATAGCAATCGTCGACGATGGTGTAGATTAGTATTCATGAGGACTTGTAGTTTTCGTTGTTAGTGTGGTTGTGAATATGGTCGTTATTGAGGGTTGGTACTAGTGTATTAATAGTATTAAAATATTCATCATCTATGCACAGTACAGTTGTGTCTTTTTCTTGTTTGATGAAGCTTGTGGGTTCTATATGACTTCTCATTTTGAAAGCTCTTCATCGAGCATATGATTATATTTAATATCATTTGGTTTTCTTAGTTCTAATTCAAAATGTTATCATCAATGAATAGGCCATTGAGTGGCATATACAAGATGATAAGTTTTTTTCACTTTATCTGTTTTGTTTCGATTCTTATTGGAACCTTCCCTTGACAATCGTTGTTTTAATCAAAAACTATAACGTATAGCACTACCTATTAAAATATTTTCTATTGAATATAATAAAATAAATGATATTTTTCAAAAGCCCTGGAGATCATGTTTTTTTTATTATCCATACTCTTCAAAACATCTCATGAGTCCTATCGTCATCAATGTAGCTCTACTGCACTGATACCTTCAAATAATAATTTCTATTTCAGTGAGTCACTCATAGAAGGATTTTACTTTCAAGAAACAACACTTTTAGTGTTTGTTGTATTCTATACAACGTCATTTCTTACAGTATGCCTTCCCTGCGAAGTAAGAAAACACGAATCTCATTGAATTTCAAGTCAGACATTTTGTGTGCAGAAATAACTCAATCCATTGAAGCCGCTCATCGTCTCTTGTTATGACGGAATATTTAACTTTAATTTAAAACCAAGTTAAGAAACATTGCTGAAGCCTTAATACTGATGAAAAGAGCAAAAAATAAATTCTATACATGCATATATCTTAAAACACTCACATGAAAACGAAAAATTCGAAAGATCTGAAAGCCTTCGGAAAAAGCTCAAAAATCACTAGTTTTCTTATCACATTGGAAGAATTTTTTTTCATTTGGACCCACACTCTGATTAGACAAGAAAAATAAACAAGTTTTCGTTTTTTTTAATTTTTACTGCTAATTGTGCTGATTGATTAAAATCTGATAAAAAATTCACAGTTGAAAGAAATCTTTTTTCTACTATTCTGATCATGGGCGGGCCGGCATAGGGGCGAGAGGGGGCAATTGCCCCCCCTAAAAAAATTTTTTTGGCTGGGACTTAAGAAGAACGCCATGAAAACAAGCGTTTTTAAGCGAAAAAGTGCTTATTGCCCCCCCTGAAAATTATGGTCCGGCCCGCCAATGATTCTGATGGTATTTCTCGTTTTTGATAAAGTTTTAGTACATTTTAAATTGATCCTCATAGTGTTATAGTCATATTTACAGTGTAAAAGAAAGTTTGATTTTTGAACAGAAATTATGATAATTTATTTAAACAACACGAAAGTCTTTATTCAAGAGAAGCAAAAGAAATCGATTACTTCTTCTATTTAGAACTGTCAAAAGATGAACTTGAACGAAAAGATGAAGGGGTGTGGGTGACCTGGATATTCGCACAGAGACCCCATATCCTCTCTTTGGTCTTGATAGATCCTCTCTAATAACGAGTGTCTCATCTTAAAAGCTGTTTATAACTTGAAACATGTCTCTCTTTATATTATCGATTTAAGTGCCATGCTACAAAATCAAAATTATATTTAGTAAGAATCGACTTTTTTAATTAACTTGAATCAGTTTACAAATCTTTTTCCTGAATTTCAATTCAACCTCTAATCTAATATTTTAAATCAAAAAAATTGTTGCAGATACACAGGTGTTTTCAAAAAAACTTGTACAAAATTAATTTCTTTTTTAAAAACTTTTTCTGCTATTATAAGCAATTACAAAAGCCATTTTTGAGGGATAAAAGTCCTCGATAGATATACTACACGCTATATATTTAGACTTGTGATTTCGTCTCTTTTCGATACATCTTTATTCAATCATGACGTCGACCAGTAACTTAAAAAAATCATCATATATCAATATTAACTTATTGAAACAAGAGCATACGATCTGCTCCTCATATTCATCGTGAAAAAAAACGTGCCACTTGAGGACTATCTATTACAATACTGACAAATGAAAACAAATTGGTCCACTTAAACATCGAGGTGGAAATGGTCGACCACGTGTCCTTGGTGGAATAAGAAAAAAAGCTATTGGTCAATACATTCAACGTAATAATGAAATAACTCTTAGTAAAATAAAAGAATTTATCGAAAATGTACCACAGTTAATAGACTGGCCATTTGATAGTCCGGATACAAATCCGATCGAGAACATATGGTCGATAGTGAAACGCAACGAAGCGAAAAGAATACCTCTAAATACTGATGCGTTCAAACTTTTTTCAGCTGAAAAATTCAAAAAAGTTTTGATATTAATGTTGTAAAAACCTGTGTGATATCTATCTCTTATTGATTGTAAAGATGAGCGAATAAAATACTGAACTATGATGATACTCGATATTACGCGTTGTAGCTATCAACTCCTATACGAAACTTTTAAAGAGAGCTTCTATTTAACCAACATTTTTCAGGTGAAAAAGTCAAAAATGTTGAGATTTCGATTATAAATATTTTTATTGCTTTCAAGAAAAAGAGATGTTTATTTCTTTTTTCTCCTATAAGTGAATAGATAGAATATCAAACTATGCACTCGTGTAGCACTCTTCATGGACTATCCACTACGGTATAAAAAAATTCGACTAAAAACACTTTTCTAGAAGATAATATCTGTAGAAGAAGGTGTGCAAGTTTTTTTT